TCCAAACTGCTTCGCTGGGTCTCCAACCATTTTTCCGCACATCGTTTCTGCGATGCGTACGACTTCTTTGTGGTCCACGTTTCCAGATGTAGCAAAGCAAACTTTATAAGGCTGGTAATGATCGGTCATAAAGGATGACAGAAGTTGACTGTCAAAGTTTTGGATATTCTTCGATGGGCCTATGACACTTTGAGCCAGCGGGGTTCCTTGAAAAGCAGTTTGATGCAAATATTCGAACATAACAGCTTTAGGATCATTATCGGAGTCCACTAGTTCGTAACACATGTTGTGCTTTTCGGTCTCTATTGAAGAGTCATTTAGGTCAAGGTCAGTTATAATGCGACAAAGAAAAGCGACCATCTCGTGCGCATTTTCTGATGGACAAATCGCCACAAATCTTTGTATCTCTTTAGTTGTTTCTGCGTTTATCTTCGCGCCCATTTGCAAAAGATTATGTTCTATTTCACATTGGTTCATTGACTTAAAACCGCAGAATGCCATGTGTTCTAGAAAATGGCTAGCACCGTTGTTTTCCGGAGTTTCAAAACGCGGGCCTGCTTCGATGAACAGAGAAACGCAAGCAAGTGGTGATTGCGTCTGTTCAGTTGCAATCCGCACTCCATTCGGTAGGAGACTGATCTTGGTACCAGGATCATTTGGATCAACAGGATGACAGACTCCAGCAGAGCGTTTCCTATTTAACCTTATCCATTTTGGAAAAAAACTTTTGAACGTTTTACGAAACATCTCGAAGCTAGATAGATGTATTAAAATATTAACTATTTATTGTATTTTAATTGGGAAAGCATTTTAAATAACAATGGAAATTGTCAAAATTCAATATTGACAAGCTGTATTATATCTAAAAAGTTTGAGGTAGTCTCTGAAACATTCTGATTAAGTTTACCTTGTATATGATGGATAAAAACAAAAGGATTCCCAATATATTTCAATTCAGTTCCAACATTTATTTCATATTACATATATCACAGGATAACTTACTTGCAAATTGTATTTCGAACGTTGAAATGTCCACTGAAATTAATCTAAATAGCGTCTGTTAGCATTGCAATTGAAGTAGCGACCACCTAAGTTCAGAGCGTTTATCGGCACGATTCACAGATACATTGCTTGCTAATAGAAATTAATCACTATTCCCGATTACCGCGTTGAATTGATTGTTCAAGATTGCTTGTGTTAAGAGGACGTTTCGACGTGATTTATATGTACTTAGTCTGGCCATAAATACTGTTACTATTAAAAATAAACAAAATATTATATTTGAATTTGGAATCTGTCATTTTTATATGATTGCTCATTGAGTTTTCTCATATTGGCGCCAATATATTGTACAATATTTTGCGATATTAAAATGGAGTGAGGTAATAAAGAGAACCGAATCGCTGTGATTGTATTACACAAAGTAGGTATGGAGCCAAATGCAATTTTTAAAACTCTCCATACGCTTGGTATTAGTAAAATGTTTGTGTACCGGGTTATTAATAGGTGCAATGAGACCTCCTCTGTTTGTGACAGAAAAAGATCTGACCGTCCACACAGTGTTCGTACGAAAAAGGTGGTCAAAGCAGTAAGGGAAAGAATTCAAAGAAATCCTGTCCGAAAGCAAAGGTTTTATCTCGGGAGATGAGGATAGCACCTAGAACCATGTCGCGTATTTTAAAAGATGATTTAGGACTTGCAGCCTATAAGAGACGTACTGGTCATTTCTTAACTGATAATTTAAAAGAGAACAGGGTGGTAAAATCGAAACAACTACTGAAGCGGTACGCAAAGGGAAGTCATAGAAAATTTTTGTTTACGGGTGAGAATTTTTTTACAATTGAGCAACATTTTAACAAACAAAATGACCGTATTTATGCTCAAAGCTCTAAGGAAGCTTCCCAATTAGTCGACAGAGTGCAACGTGGGCACTATCCGACTTCAGTGATGGTTTGGTGGGGTATTAGCTATGAAGGAGTGACTGAGCAATACTTTTGTGAAAAAGGTATCAAAACATCGCCACAAGAGTATCAAGATATCATTCTTGAGAAGGTAATGAAGCCCCTTAACAACACCATGTTCAATAATCAAGAATGGTCCTTCCAGCAAGACTCGGCGCCAGGTCATAAAGCTCGGTCTGCGCAGTCTTGGTTGGAAACGAACGTTTCGGACTTCATCAGAGCTGAAGACTGGCCATCGTCTAGTCCCGATCTTAATCCGCTGGATTATAATTTATGCTCAGTTTTAGAGAGTACGGCTTGCTCTAAACGCCATGATAATTTGGAGTCCCTAAAACAATCCGTATGATTGGCCGTGAAAATTTTACCCATGGAAAGAGTGCGTGCTTCCATTGATAACTAGCCTCAACGTTTAAAGGACTGTATTGCAGCTAATGGAGACCACTTCGAATAAGCTTTTTATACTTTAAATTGTTTTATATTTATGTATTAAACTAACATACTGTAAAAGTAATAAATGTTATTTGCCATAGATTTTTTTATTTTCCTTTGTAACAGTACTTATGGCCAGACTAAGTATATGTTTTACAATTGGAGTAAGAGCCAAGGTTAATATTTTTATATTAAATATCTATGGCATGTTTGGGTAAGACGACAAAGGTAAATGTTCCGCCGAGTTAGTGTATTTTTTTCGTCCACTGATGATCCAAATGTCGTTTTTCGGAACATATAAATTTGCATATTTATTTTGTAAATTTCGCTACCGCTATTCAGGTATTTCAGATAAAAAATATCATCTATGACTGTTACCACCACACACGTAATCTATACCTACTAATATATAAATCTTGACTTGAAGCTTAGTATCCATGTAGAAAATACATGTACTTAATGGATAGGCTAATATTTATATGAGTGTTGGACTCCCCAATAATGATGACAATAAATAATAATGTTAATTTTAAATGCCCAGCGAAGCGGCCGAGTACGGCTAGTAACTTCTAAAAATGTACTTTTGATCGTAACATGTGACATAAATTATCCTCATTCACACTATGAGTTTAATATATAATATTATACTATAATTCTCATTTCGAAATATCCTTTGCCGGTTGATTTACGAGCTAAAGTAGTCCTGTTCGGATCGATCAGAACAAACAGAAAAGGTAACACATTCCCGGTACCCAACCATGTTTTCCGTCTGAATAATACATTACTGAAACCACTAGGTCGTGCCAAAGGCTTTTGAGCCCTCTTTACGTTTTCAGAACCCTTTGTAAAACCTACAAGATAAAGCTATTTTTCACTCAACCCAGTTAAATTACAAGAGAGGACATTTTACCTGAAAAGCATTGTTTTAACATTGCACAGAGCTGAAGATCGACGGTCCGCCGAGGGCTCTCAATCCGATCTAATCTTACTTGCAAATGCCTCTTTATTTTTCTTTGCCAGAAAAGGTTTACAATTTACATAAGTTCAGGGCACTGTCTGGCGTCAAAAGTTACGTAAAGAACAGATAACGAAATTTCGAGAGGTCAGACATTACTTGTTGGCTTTACAACGCTGCCGATAGATCTGTTATGATACAAACTTGATTTCTATATTTGTATTTCCTTTCTAGTGCGTTGGAAAAGGATGAGCTATTTAAACAAAATTTTTTTTGCTAAGGTCAATTTTAATTCGGCTCCCAGCGAATATTTAAAAAAGTATATTTAATTTACAATATTATGTATACAATATATAAAGTATACACTTGATAATAAAAAATAAAGTCACCTGTGCTATTATATCGAAAAATATTGGCATTGCCTTCAAACACAATTAAACTATACTACTTTCCTTCTACCATTGTGTGTTGTATTTTTCGATCAACTTAGTTCCAGTTGCAATCGTAATGTTTATTAGACTAAGTAACATTTTTTGGTTGTTAATATGGTCATAGAAACTCCAGGCTCACAAAGCTGTAAGTCGTAACAGGAGTCCATAGATATTATTACATGATAGGCGCGTAGCCTGACTCTTAATTGCAATAACAGGTACTTTTTATTGTCTTCTAAAGCAAACGAGGATTTGGATCACCTGATCACATTTTTTTCCTACCTAAGCTGATAGCCTTGAGAGGCTATTTCTGCATAACCTTAACTAGTAGGTGAACTCACGGGGCTCAAACCTGACTACGTTGCTAACACGAGCCCCAGCAAGAGCCATGCTTCGCAGAATCTACCACCGGATCGGAAACGCGACCCACTGAGAAGATCCGGCGAAAAACTCAGTGGGCTGTGTCTGTGGGCTAATTTGCTCGTCGAGCCCTTCGACGCAAGCGACGGGTTCGACGAAAACGATGACCGGTGCTCGAGGTGGATCACCATTTCAAAGAACGGTCAGGCGACTGATCACTCTCCTACTTTTCAAAGTGCGATACACGACCGCTTCGCTCCAGAAACATGCCGAACCATAGTAACCACTCATGCGAGCTCTCAACATAATATCCTACAAGTATCAGTGATAGGAAAATAATAATCGGATATGCCTAGTTATTATTAATTTCGAATTTAAACACTGCTACGTTTGCTGTTTTGTTTATGACTCATTGTGATTATTTATTTGTACAATAGCGAACAGCATCACAGAATTTTAATATAAACACGTGCCTAGTAACTCATCAATTTGTTCTTGTTAAAAATAACTTATAGATTAGCATACAGAACAGATTAACATACGCCACTGAAATTGCGTTTTTTTTAAATGTATCCAATCCAATCTAAAGTCCAACTAAAGAGGATCGAGTTCCTCGTACATTAGCTGACTAAAAAACGCTGGCAATAACGTTATCTGAAGGAGCCGAAAAAAGAATGAAAAAAAAGGCTTACAATCAATAACTCCCAAATCCCCGATGCTTTGTATTTGCAAACCGGTTATGAAAAAGTTTTAAATTAAACCTATACTAAAGAATGACAACTGTCAATCAATGACGCTATATTTCATAATGTCCAACGATGACAAATAGTAGCAATTTGGTACCTAAATAGTTTTTTAATAATAATGCTGAAGGCTTCTATTAGATTCACACAAATTTGGCGCCCAGTCGTCACTCCTGTACGGAATCGTCCATATCCGATTCCTTTTATAGATTTCCTTAAGAATATTCCCGAGACTCAGTATTCTAGGCTGGATAATGGTTTGACAATTGCCACTGAAGAAAGGGAAAGTTACAATACTTGCGTTGGACTGTTTATAGATGCTGGTTCTAGGTATGAGGACAATTTTGAAAATGGCGTGGGCCACTTTTTCGAACATCTAGCGTTTAAAGGTACAAAATGTCGAACAAAAACTTTACTCGAAGATCAGATTTCATCTTCTGGCGCCATCTTCAAATGCTTCACGACTAGAGAAATGGTGGCGTATTACGCAGATTGTCTTTGTTACGACCTTCCGCGTGTTGTGGAAATTTTAACGGACTGCGTATATAATAACAACTTTGCGACGGCTGACATCGAACTTCAGAGAAAGATTGTTTACGCGGAAATGATCGAACAAGACAAAAATTCGAACACTGTACTTTACGATTACTTGCATTCCACAGCATTTCAGGGCACGCCGCTCGCGCAAACCGTAATGGGACCGAGCTGTAATTTGTATAACTTCACTGACATGACGATCTCAAGGTACCTAGCGAAACGATTCGATCCAGCGCGGACCGTTCTCGTTGCTGTTGGAGGAGTCAAACATGATCAAATGGTCTTTCTGGCAAACAATTACTTGAATAAGCTAACGCCCCTAAAATGTGTCGATATAGGTGTTGCTCGATATACGGGTTCTGAGATTAGGTTTAGAAATGATTCCTTACCAGTCGCCAACTGTGTAATGGTAATAGAAGGACCATCTTTTTGCCATAAAGACCAAATTGTAATGGAAGTGGCAGCAAGCATCATTAGTGGGTGGGACAAGTCCCAGCCTGGAGGTATTAACCATGCAGTTAGAATAGCACGAGAGGCCTCTACGGATAAATTCTGCGACTCATATAAAGCAGTTAACATTACTTATAAGGATACGAGCCTTTGGGGGGTGCAATTCATGGGGCCGAGTGTGGAGCTCGAAGACATGGTACTATCAATTCAAGGAGAGTGGATGAATATGTGCCATACGATAACTGATGCAGAAGTAGAGAGAGCTAAACGGGAATTGAAAACTAAAGTGTTATCGAAGACTGAAAGTTGCGCTGGTACATGTCACGAAATAGGCAGATGGGTTCTGTACAACGAAATAAGACCACCGCTACACGAGAGAATCTGTGCTATCGACAGCGTCTTCGCACAAGACATTCGACGAGTGTGCAATAAGTATATTTATGACAAGTGCCCGGCAGTAGCGGCAGTAGGTCCCACGGAAGGTCTCCCGGACTATACCAAGATAAGAGCTGGAATGTATTGGTTGAGAATATAAATTTGTATGTTTTAATGTTGCCATTTGAATTACTGTATTTATGTTTGCTGTTACGATACAGATTGTTTTATTATGCTTCGCTTTATTCTCCAAAGAATTTTATTTTCAGCACACATATTACGATTAACCGTATAATAATTTGCAATGTTATTTATAATATATTTCCTCCTCCTCCTTGCATCGTGTTCCTCAGTATTGAAGGTCGTGACCTTCAAGTACCAGTTCGGACAATTTCCCTCCTTCCTGTCCTCTGCGTATTGGATAGCGACATTGATGTTGGATGTGGTCTTAATTTGTTCGAACCAGCGCATGGGACTACACTCCCTTGGCTTTTTTTTTCTAATTATTATTTACTTGGGAGCACTAATATTGGGAAAAAAAAATTCTTATATAAACTACTAATAAAAAATAATATAGCAATCTAGAAACATTTGTTAATTTAACAAAACAAAAAGAATACCCAAAAAGTATGTTACTGCAATATCTTAATTAATAAAACATAATTTATTACTGACTTGAAAGTACACATAAGAATGAAAGTTAATAAACAATTAAAGTAGCATTTATTAGGCAAAATAAAACTCGTAATATCGTACAAAATTATAATTTATTACATCATGTAAAGCTACAATATAAAAATTAAAATATTTTGAGTATGATGAAGATCGCACAACGATCTCATGCTAAACAATACTAAAAATACTTCTAAGCGCACGCTGCGCAAAAACTCCATTATATAAAATATGTAGATTTACGGTACGATAGTCTTACGGTACAATTTGAAATTCAATTGTCTTGAGCAAATACATCACCTGAAGTGTTTTAAAAAAAAAAAAAAACCAAAATCCGATGCTGTGTTCAAATGACTAAACTGTAGCCGCCAGACAGCTCAATGAAATTACGTCCCTCTTCGGAACTGTTAAGGGCATAATGTTCGCCAACAAGATACCAAGACGCAGTCGCCATCCATTCCGTTCAGTGACAATCATTGAGGCCGTCAGCGCAGAAGAGGCCCCGCAATTTTTATATTCGTGCTTATACTATACTGCAATTTATTTAAAACAAAAATAAATTTGATGCAAAACCGACCTACCCATAGTTTTACACATAGGTAATAGATAGATTTATAAATATTATTTTTGCGCGTATTGTTTTTGCCTACAAAGCAGTGTAAAAGTAAATTCAAACCTCATTATCTTCATGCAAACTATGGTAAGCTAAAGCCACTTTTATGCTAACGGTCTCAATCACAGTCGGGAGCACATTGTCAATCCGCAATTATTTTTTTATCTTGCCTTTTTCACAACCATACATTTTTTTAAATACTATTGTTTAATACTGTAAATTCGAGACAACTCTTAATTAAAAGTACAGATTTAAATGAATAATTCGATAAGACGCATACACAGCATCAGATTTTATTTCGTTTGCCGAAAATATTTTACTATATTATAATTTAGTAAACTTGATCATGATATTGTAATCTGATATATCGTCCTTATTATAATATTATTGTTCGAATGTTATCGAACAGTATTCGAGTGCCGTATAACGGAGTGATCTAATTTCGTTTCGCATCTATTAATTCGTTAAATTTACATTTTCGTATTATTTTAAATTCGTTTTAAGGTGTCTTTTTTTTCAGTTCTGATTTCTATACTATCGCAGAATGCACTTTTGTTCGTAATTAATATATTGTACATTCATACATATTATGTTCAAGTTATATCATAACAATTTCACAACCGACTCATTACAATTTTATTATTTATTCCAGAATCGTAGTTTTTTTTAAAAATGTTATTAATTAGATTTCCGCTTAACCAAATGTCATATCTAATTATACTGGCCAATGTCGAACAATACATCACTATACATATATGATATATATACGTATCTATTTTCCTTAAATAATGGAATGTATACAAAAATATGAAATTTCAACAATATTCTGTTTCAAAATTTACTTGTTCAACAACAAGATTCAATTTTGATTTCGACAATCGCTTTGTACTTTAGCTGTTAATATTAATGTACTGTTAATATTAATCTATATATTCGTGTGCATATATTACGTTACTGTTACACGTATGTATCTAAAAGACTTGTTTTTAAAAATCTTTGAGAGTTTCATCGTACCATAGTAACATAGTTGGGATGACGGGAATTAATTTGAAAAATGCCTTTAATAGTCAAACAAAACTTAATGATAGTTATTTCATATTTTTAATTTGTTCAAAAGTCGACGAGCATTACGAAACCTGATGATAAACGGTCACTAGAGTTCGGAAGCGCTAGTGACGGTCTGTTAAAAATATATTCTACCAAGTCTGGCTAGAAGAAAGTTAATTAGTGATAACAAAACTGTAACTTTTCAAAAAATACAGTTTATGGAAGTTTGTTTTGGTTAAACTATTGATCGCTACTTCAGTGGTGGTGGCTGCGTCCGTATCAATGGAGATATGGAACAAATACAGGTATTTGGTTTTATCAGATTCTTGAACCCATTATCATCTCGAGGTGTTGCTTTCGTATTATAATGTTGTGTGAAAACTTTATAAATTAACATGTTTAAGCATCAGAATGTTTATTACATGTTATTACTTTATACACATGAGGAAGAGGTCGACCGAAGAAGACATGGATGGAGTGTGTGACTGACGATATGAGAGAGAGCGGGGAGTGAGTGTTAAGATGACGGCTGATAGAAAAGAATGGAATAGAAAAATTCGCTGTGCCGACTTCACCTAGTGGGATAACGTGGAGAAAAACAATAAGAGATTACTTTATAAACATGTAGGTACTTAAGAAAGGGGAAGAGACTATCAAGTTTTTTTTAAAATATCGTTCTTATGAGAACGGTGGTTTTTTTTTAGAATTTATTTTGGAAGTTCTAAAGGTGTCACGTCTGAAAACGATAGTGCAATCAACCTCCTTGAATGTTTTATCGATACATTGGCAGTGAAGAGTGAGTGGGTTTATATTATCAACATGAAACGATCAGCCCTGTCCGCTCTGAATTTGAATTTAACACGTTTTTTTTTAATTCTGCATTTCAGTCCTTTAAGGTAAACATAAAAAGTTTACAAACCGTTATAGTACCACCGTTTGAGGCAAATTACACACGACTAAAATTACTATTGGTGAAATAAATAAAAAATCCGTTATGATAATAAATCCGTTTTAGTAATTCATGTCTTTCTTTAGTGTTACTTTAGGATAGATCAACACTAGCCTATATAATATTAAAACACAATATTATACTTCTTCATCTTCACAACATCAATATTACACACAATACCCGTAAGTCGAAAATAGTTCATTATTATGCATTTATGTATATCAAGCGTTTAATTAATATTTAGACATGATTTTTAGTAATACAATATGTTTTTCGAATTTCTTCATTATTTTGAGTATATTGACATTTTTCATAGTAAAATTAAACACTCAAGAGGTGTTTTCAACTTAATTATCAATTCATCATGTCAATTCATAAAGGACTTTATATTTTCAATTTCACACCCGTCATCCTGTCATTAAAATGTGAATAGAAAAAGACAAAACTACAGTGTTGAGGTTGTTTAAAGTTTAAAATTGGCAGTAATAGAATTTGTTTTTGGTTTTTTATTATTATGAAACACGAGTATTCGAAATGTGTCCTTTTTGTTGGTCATTCTATTGTAGCGAAAAAGTATTAGACTAAACGTAACTATCTCATGCATCATTCAATCAATGAACCACATGCACAGACAAAAGGTTCCAACTACATATTAAATATGTGAACAAAAGAATGAATACGTGTTCTATCTTCTTTAATTGGTTAAATGCTTAAAAAAATACATGCCTTCTGACATTTAATAATAACCGAAGTGTTATCATTTTCGCACACCGAAGGTTCCGATGGATCAATGTAATAATAATTCTGTAATGAATATTATTAATCTCTTACGGCTAATAGGGATTTTAAACAGAAAAAATATTCTAGTACTTTCGGTTCTTGTAATCAATTGGCTTGGTTAATATTCATGAACTCTGATTACACTTTTAGTATGCATTTTCTGTTCATTGCGCAGTAGTTTGATTCCCTAATGATAATCACAGTTAGTTGTTGTGCTGGTTAATTCAGATATAAGTTGTTCTCAAAGTTAAATTAACATTGCATTATAAATCGCAAACCTTCTGTCTGCCACATGCAGAATTAAGAGCGCAAACATAATCAATTAATACTGCCAACTTTAACTTTTTATAGCATATGAAAAAAGTTTACAAATATATAAAACCTATTTTCTACAAGATAATGTATTGATTAATCGAATATAAACATACTGTTTATATAGACGGAAAAAAACATATGTATTACACGATCTTATATAATTAAATGGTTATGGCATGGAGCTTGAAGACCTTTGGGCGGGAATGATGATCGCTGATCGAATTAGTGATACAAGACAAAATGTACACAATCAAATATCTCAATTAGAATTGTCAGACACGAAACAGCCGTTACTGTTCAAAACAAAGTTATATTTTTCCTGGACAAGCATCTCAATCAATTCACTCAGTAGATTGATTGAAGGTAATCCAATGGTTATGGTGTGGTGGAAAATTTTTCGTCTCTACGTCGCCCATGTAATTAAAGTTACCACAAACATTGCCAATAACTTGGCAATCATGAGTTAACGCAAGTTCGATTTTAATACATAAGTTACATGATAGCTTAAAACGGTTGTAACAAATTTTGACTCGTACCACTCTACAATCCAAACAGCAATTTATGACTAAGTTTTATTTTTGATTTTCGATTCCATCCGACTACTACAGCTATACTATTAATGACATTTAGAATCGCTTAATCCCTTTAGTGTCATGTAGGTCACCGATGCCCTACGTAGCGCACTAAAAGAAATATGTCGATTTCTCTTTTTTATCTTCTTACTTAGAGCGCCGGACTATCCAGTAAACTCTGGGAAAGACAAATCCGAAGATACTAAGAATGAATATAATGTCTAAGAGAAACAAAAAACTAAAACATACATTAGCAAACAAAAGAAGGCAAAGTTTGGCAATCTAGGCCCCATAGTAACAGAAATCGAAATAATTACGAAAGAAATCGAAATAATTTCTTCAGTGCGCCACATAGAGCATGTAGAATTAAATGTGACGTCTCATTGACATGACCAAAACTAAGTCAATGCGGTTACCGTACGTACTTATTATGTCATATCGACGCAATCCAGGCGGACGTGCGTCAAACTGTAGAATCAATAATACAGTGCACAAACAAATCAATTGTTTTCACAAATGAAACGAGTTCAATGTGTCGCTGACGGTCGAAAACCAAATGTTATTATTTATTTTGCCAGTTCTCAAAAATTCGACAGAAACTTACACACTAAGAAAAACTATCATTAATTACTAACTTTGTCATGGAAACACAGATCTGTACTATCGCAAACATATTTGAGCACAACATCTTAAATATAATGTAATATATTATTATATCATTCAAATTTTAATTATTATCATTTTTTTGCAATGCATTATTTTTACAAATAATTTCGTTCACAAATGGAATGTAAAGGTAATAATATCTTATTGGAATGTATTGCGGAAATTATAAATAGATATATTAATAAATTATATTTGTATACGGTGGATTTTATATGATTTTTATTACTATTCGCAATGTAAAAGACCAAAAAGTCGTATGTAAATATTTATCACACCTTTTAAAAAAAAGTATGATCACAAATATATAATAATCGATTAAGGTATCATATACGAATTATTGGATAGATTTCTTACAATGTTAGACATTTCGAGATTATGTAAACATATATAATATTATATTTATTTATATATGTACCATGTTTATGTTATAACCTAAAGGCACAGATATTAACAACTATTTGGCCACGAAAATTGAGTATTCAGGGAGGAAATCAAGATCCACCATTACACAAAATACATACAAAAATATACTTAAATATCAAAAAATTACTTCAACATTGAATTATCAATGTTTTTATTAAGCACACAACCTAATATATTATTGCATATATGCACTGTTTCTTATTACTATATTCATTCGCGTGTAATTCAAAATTTACATCGAGATAATTAGCTGCACCGTCTACTGTTATAATATTATTTAATAAAAAAAATGTATTGTAAATAGCATTGGTATGAAAATAATTTGGTAAATTAAAAATTAAAAAAAAAACTTTCTCGCTCACACGATTATAAATGCTTACAAAACTACACAGCTACCGAAAACTACGAGTCGTCGTCTACAATATTAATTGTTATAATCTCTTCTTTTTTTTTAAAATTCACCTACAATCTAAAACCTACAAAATATTCATAAAAATTCTATAAAATCAGGTTGATTATGCAGACCTACATACTAATGGAATGTTACTAATTATTTTTTTATAATTGAATAGTACAAAAATGTTAGTCGTTATTATAAAAAAAAAAACTTATATTAATGGTTAAAAAAATACCCAAACCGTAAATACGACGAAATATGGACGTACCAAATCATTTCATTTGTGAATAGATACTATATATATTACTTCCCAAAAATACACCTTTTGCGCGACTTTAGATATTCCAAATATACAGATATCTTTGCAATCGATCAGCGGTCGCGAAGGCATATATGTATATAGATATATTCTTATTCTTATAAACTTCATATGGTTCACCGATAAGTAAAAAAAAGAGAGCTAATGACTATAATTAGTTTCGACTTCAAGACGATGGGACGATTTTTATTAAAGCTAACTTCGCTTTAACGCCGTACACGAATAAACATCGACGACCAAGATATACAAAAAAAAATACAACTAAAGTACAACATATATATATATTATAAATATAAATATTGGAATGTTTCAGATCTTCAAAAAGTCGGATCTGTTTTTGTCCTTTGCGAATCGCACTAAGCTCGAACGATTGCTGTTTAATAAAACAGTCGCTTCACACAGGGCCTGCTTTGAGGTATAATTCACTCTTTTCGTGTTCAATAACCCTAATTAATAACGTTCGAACACACAACTTTGTATAAAATTTACAAGCCTAAATTGAACCGTATTCGAAAAATAAGTTTTTGTATTTTCACTTAATACTAATTATTTTGTAAAACCTACAACTAAGTAAAGCACAAATTTATAGATGAATTAAACAATATCGTATTTTGTACTGTTAGGTTATGCTTACTACATTTTGGTGAACAACTTCATTACACCATCACACAACTCAGCATCGTATCGATAATCGAAAATTAATTACGGGACGTCTTATTTGTACGTTCGTTTTAAATAATGGCAACGATTCAAATACAAACTCTAAATTTCTCGACCTAGCTGCCTAATTACAAACAAAAAAAAGTTGTACTCTGCGAATATTATGGGACACCGAGACATAATCGAAAATGACTTATTGAGACACTACATGTCCCAGTTTCAACCTCAATCGTAAGAGAGAAGAATATGTTTTTTATCCTTTTGTCATAAAAAAATTACGAAAGTTATATTATGCTAAACCACCACCAAAGGGCATGCAAATGGAATCGAATGAATAATACATTGTGAACGATAAAAAACATATTATTCACCTACAATATTATCTTAGGCATTTTATATATAAGAATGTATTTTGTTCGAAGTATTTCAGTCTTTGGATATTCTGTTATGGAATGTATACATATACAAAAAACGCAACAAAAACGTTTTGTACACAAGTCAGATTAATATAATGATCTAATTCGTAATTTATTAAAATAATCTCTCCATTAGAGTATTCAAAAATGCACCAAAAATGTACCTTTTATTATATATTATTACACATATTCCGACGATAGACTATTTGATTGATTTAACTGTAATTCGAATCCTGCGAGCAATAATATTGATATTCGAATCGCTTTAGTATAATTAATACTTTTATATTCTTCGCACATGCCTTTGAATACATCATCCAGTGATATAACGGCGTCACAGTACAATAAACATGCTTTTAATGGCAGCGTCTTGTATAGAAACAAATAATATTATAGTAACGTTTATAATTTTTATTTTGCATATTAAACATAGACTTTTTCATGAAATATGAGTAAAGTAATATTTTTCCAAACAATTAAAAGAGCACATGAACATGGAAATAAGCAGATATCGTCTCGTATATAACTAACGATTTCGATGATTACATCTAAACGTTAAAATAAGAATTACTGGCTAGTTTACCTACCACATTTGATGTTTTTCAATTATTATTTTTATACTTTTTCGTATTCATGGTATGGACTAACTAAAGTGATCCCAGGCGATTAAATCATCAAGTATCAAACCCTAAACCAAAGCTCTTTCAAGTCTCGCTTATCTTAGCTTAGAGGTTTCAACTGTTACTAAAAAAAATGTTTTCATAATAATTTATTTGTGCACAATTTATTTACACGCCATTTGAAGAAAAAAATTATTAAATAAATTGACATATATAATCGTGCACATACTTTTTGGTACGAAAATGCAAACCAATTAATCAAACAACTCGTGCCTAGTGACATTTAACACAAATAAGCATTGTAAGTTTTTTTATTACTATTTATTACTTGCTCAAAAATTTATGGAAATATAAAAATAAAACTGTAAACATACTAGCGAGACTACTACTAAAAGCGAGACTGTCTCTGTACTATGCGTTGATTAAAATACTTTTCAGAATTGAGTCTCAACTTAACACAGTCCACACTGTAAACATAATTAAGAGTGTTTTTATTTGCTTTTAAATTAACGTGGCTACTTTAGGAAATGATCGTCCTAATTACGTATCGTGGAAGACTGGTCAGGATTCACTAGTTAAATTTATTATAATTAACACGACTCAAGATTGGAATTTCTATTATATTCTTTATTTATTTAATTTAGTTGTGAGCAGTTATATTTAGTATACTGTGACGTCACACAATAGTCCTGAAACGGTTATAATTCATGTTGACAGTTATCTTTTCTATTAAAGATACTCTCTAGCAATAAATTCCTCAGTATTATCATCAAATAGTCTATTGTCATTAAATTTTAAGATCAACGTTTAATGACCCTCACGTATATACATAATATACTCAGTTTATCTCGTTGTGTTAAAAATGAAAATGCAAAATATTTAACTATGAGTAATTTTACTGACAAAACATTCAGATCTCAAGTGTTTTTTTTTTCATCATTTCATCTGACATTAATCACTGTTTACTCAAGTTATATATTTTACATGCCCTATACGTTTTTGTTCTTTTTTTAATGGTCAAGAAGCAACCCTTCATACCGTGTCTTCGTTCTCGGATTTGGAAGATCGTTCAGGCGTTGTAGCTTGATACTTATTATCCGGCGTTTGGCTTGCGGGCGTGTTCGGACCAGGAGTTGTAGCCCGTGGACTACTGAAATATACACGGTGCCGTTTAGAATTGAATTTTTTTCAATTGAAGTTCGCATTTGCTCTTAAGTCTTATTTAGTTCAGTTAATATGAGTAGTATTATTGTGTCGATAGTTTCCGTGAACAGACACTTCGTAACCTTATGCATAACGTGAAGTATAATTGTGTGAAAAAGATTTTTATCAATTCCGTCCGAGACGCTATGACAATAACTGATAAAATCAGGCCGTCGGTTGTCTACTCATAACTAGAAACGAAAATAAATAAGTTGCAAAATAAACATAAAATTCGCTACTTTCGCATGCATTGCATTGAAGTAACAAAGCCAAACAACGAACAAATAATAAAAACAAACAAAAAAAATATATATTATATAAATTAATATAATAAGCGTGGCAACCCTGCTTCGCCGCCGCGTGCTTCCTCTACGCATTTCGCCTGCCGCTCAGCAGCGCAGATTACATTTTATGTTCACATTATCAACTACATTGCAATTGTAATGAAACCAACAAAATTTCAAGAGACCTATCGTTTAACTGAAAATATTGTAATTCTGTAATGCTGAACCGCATTTTCTCTTACCTACGCAATTTTTTTTATATTTTAATTCTACTACCAGTATAACATACAGTATACAGTATACTACTCGGTAAATACAACTCATGCAAAACTTAATATACAGGTGATAGGTATATAATATATGCGAATTCCCACGCTTTTGTGATTTTCATTATTTAATCATTTTAAATATAAAAAAAAAAATTAACATTTTTAGTTGAATGTATTACAATATATTTTATAAGTTCATTGATTATTTTAGGAACAAAATTATGAGGTTTCTGTCATGTCTCATAATAAGTTTGAAGGAAAATAATATTTTAATTTTTAGTCAATTGTTTTTAAATTATATATTTTGTTTTCAACAATAACAAATACCATCAACTACATTAATTATTAATGTACATGTCATACGACCTTACAGCCCACTTATCGGATACTTACCCGGTATCCCCCTGACGACACAACATACATGATAACACTCACCCCGTGACGTGAGGTAAAAAAACTTTTTTTTTATTGCACTGAACACCTAAGCACTTAACACCAGGTAGGCTGTGAAGCATACCTGGTGTTAAGTGGTTACTGGAGCCCATAGACATCCACAACGTAAATGCGCCACCCACCTTGAGATATAAGTTGTAAGGTCTCAGTATAGTTACAACGGCTGCCCCACCCTTCAAACCGAAACACATTACTGCTTCACGGCAGAAATAGGCAGGGTAGTGGTACCTATCCGTGCGGACTCACAAGAGGTCCTACCACCAGTAAAAAATTGTATTATGTCACAGGTACTATTTACATGCCAGCAATTATTCACCATTCGAACTAAACGCAAAATAAATCATAATCTATACTACACATGTGTCTATACTACATACTACACAAAAGTGATATAATATATAACAAAAGAAAAACTAATTTCGCCACAGCAAGAAGGCTTTAGCATTCAACAAGCGTTACACATTTATACAAATCTACAAATTAAAATAGGAATAAGTAATTTGTATCCGAGCGACCCGACGGCATTGCTTCTTGATCTTAGTGTGCTTAGTGCGAGTTTTTTAACGTTCTCGATAACGTAAAAGTTAACTAATATTTGTATGGAGTTGGGATGTTAGCCTACGTTTGCCGCTAGGGGCGCTGTTTCAACTCAGTACAAATTTGAGTTAACTTTTACGCTATCGAGAACGTTAAAAAACTCGCACTACGCATACAGTGTAGTGCGAGTCGTTAGCACCTACTATCTGGTTTATGCCGGAACTAATCACAGTTTCCAGTTTGAGAATACAACCACTTCTAAAAAATAATTGATGCTTCGACCTCATATCTCGATGTGGGCGACAGCATGGACACCCTTTTACTTGAACACAACTCATTTTCGTAATTACTAAATAAACCACTACTTGATCAATAATTCTCATATCATTTTGATTAAATTAAAATTTTCGTAAACATGTACATGTAAGTCATTATTATATATACACTAGCTGTACTCGCCCACTTCGCTGGGCATTTAAAATTAACTTTATTATTTATTGTCATTATTATTAAGGAGTCCAACACTCATATAAATATTAGCCTATCCATTAAGTACATTTATTGTCTACATGGATACCAAGTTTCAAGTCAATCGGATGCACGGCTCAGTAGTTATAACGGAACATCCGTAAAAACCACTGTAGATTTATATATTAGCATAGATATATACATTAGTATATTGAGTGCAGCTCACCTCTCATACTCCTTGTAATCAGTAGAGAGCGCTGTTTCACTGCGCCATTTGTTACCCATAGAGCTCTGCGAGCTGAAAATTAATTGAGCATTACTTAAATACCAATTGTTTATTGATTAGATGGGTGAACGAACCCACGGCCCACCTGATGTTAAGTGGTCACCGGAGCCCATAGACATAAAAGACGCAAATGCCTACCATGATACATAAGTTCAAGTCTTTTGTATTACTGCTTTGCGGTAAAAATAGGCAGCGCAGTGGCACATACCCGTGTAGGGTCACAAGACGGTCTACCACCAATTAACATTTTCAATCAAATAAGTTCAAATACATGCTACGTTGAATTAAAACAGTCAATGCATTGTGATTAAAAAATTTGGATAGGTCTAAAATGAAATTGGAACTTAATGTTATGTTCCAACAAAGATGACGTCATTCAAGTTATGATGCCTATGGCTTCAGAGAATGCTTAACGGCCGGCTGAGCCATAAGCTCATTCAACCAGCTAATAAGATGGGGAAAATTAGAAAAAAAAATAGTAAATGATATTGTGATAATTGTATCGCGCTTGATGAAACAATCAAAATAGAATTATGATAGATGCGACTAGAAGTGAAAAAGGAACTTCAGTTTGATTAATAGCCGAATGGTTACAGTCTCGTGTCCCCAAGAAGTTGGTTCTTTGTTTTTCCTACATAAGCTGATAGCCTTGAGAGGCTATTTCAGCGTAACCTTAACTAGTAGGTGGGCTCACGGGGCTCAAACCTGATGACGTTGTTAACACGAGCCCCAGCAAGAGCCGTGCTTCGCAGAATCTACCACCGGATCGGAAACTCGACCCACTGAGAAGATCCGGCGAGAAACTCAGTGGGCTAATTCGCTCCGGTGACCGGAAAAGTTGGTTCAATGAATACTTACTTCTCGTATTCCCTGAAATCGACCCCAAGACCTGGATCAGCACGCCACTTAGCTCCAACCATGTTTTGAACGCTGAAATTTTTAAGTAATATTTAATTTAATATCCTTAAACCATTGTAACAGCAAAATGAATGAACAGACATCTTCTATTGAGTGAACTGATTGAATGATTAGAAGATGAATGATCAACTTTTGCTAACTTATTATAATTTTTATTGCAAAAAGTTTTCATTTGCTGTCAAATCAAACATTTCGTGAGCTCGTTGCTCAAGATCGAACTACACTATAATAGAGAACGATGATGCACCAATACAACGATAAAAAAAATTGAAATGCCAGTCTGTTCGAAATGACCTTCAGTTTCATTTATTTTCCCGTCTGTCAATTTGTTTTGACATAATTCACAATGACTAGTAATAACCGGTGTTCGTGCTACTTTTTTTTTCATTTTCTTAGATGGTTGGACGATCTCACAGCCCACCTGGTGTTAAGTGGTTACAGGAGCCCATAGTCATCTACAATGTAAATGCGCCACCCATCTTGAAATATAAGTTCTAAGGTCTTAAGTATAGTTACAACGGCTGCCCCACTCTTCAAACCGAAATCCATTACTGCTTCACGGCAGAAATAGGCAGGGCGGGGGTACCTACCCGTTATAATGCAAATTATAATTTTGCAGGTTTCATTTTCATTACACGATGTTATTCCTTCACCGTGGAAGTCAATCGTGAACATTTGTTGAGTACGTATTTCATTAGAAAAATTGGTACCCGCCTACGAGATTCGAACATCTATGCATCGCTCAACACGAATGCACCGGAAATCTTATCCGTTAGGCCACGACGACTTCAAATGTCAAACTTGTTTTGATATAATTCACATTGACAAGTAACATGATCGGTATCCATGCTTTTTTTTCTGCAAAATTTGAAGCATCTGCCGGCCGGTAAACAACCTGTTGCTGTAAAATAATTAATTAAACATACACTTGCTTCATTTGATCACCCTGCGTCGTCAGCTGAGCGAGGTAGGCGGCCTGCTTGCGGTGGTGGTACTTGTGCACGCGCAGACACGACGGATTGCGCATCCGCTTCTGGCAGATGTCGCACTGCAGCGTGCCCTCGCGCGTGTCGTGCTTGTCCCGGATGTGCACCTTCAGGTTATAGCGGTTCGCGAAGAACCGGTGGCAGTTCGGGCACTTCACGCCGCCCGTCTTGCAATTCCAGCCTGCGGGACAACTCACGGTGTCACTACAAACTGTACGGTGTGCTTAGTGCGAGTTTTTTAACGTTCTCTATAGCGTAATAGTTAGCTCATATTCGTAAGTTTTTTTTTCTACCTAAGCTGAGAGCCTTAAGAGGCTATTTCAGCATAACCTTAACTAGTAGGTGAGCTTACGGGGCTCAAACCAGAGTGTTGCTAGCACTGATCCTAGCAAGAGCAGTGCTTCGCAGAATCTACCACCGGATCGGAACGCGACCCGCTGAGAAGATCCGGCGAGAAACTCAGTGGGCTGTGTCTATGGGTTAATTCGCTCGTCGAGCCCTTCGTCGCAAGCGACGGGTTCGACTCTATGTAATTGTGGGAATTTATACATATTCTAAATATACTATCTAGAAGACTGAAAAGTCATGTTTTGTTTATTTAATATCATTACGCCATGCAACACTACATTTTTTACTGACATATATGACGGAGAGTCTGATCCATGGATTTTAAAATGATGACGTCAGCGTTGCCATTTTCTTCGTCATTTTTATGAGCTTCCATAGTGACAGTAATTGGGACTCACGTTTCCAAAGAATTCCATTTATTACATATCAAGTATACAGCGACAATAACAAAGAGCTCCGTTTCGTTCGGCTGTTACGTTGTAGATGTCTATGGACTCCAGTAACCATTTAGCACCAGGTGAGCTGTAAGCTCGTCCACCCTACTAAGCAATAAATAAATAAATGCTCGAGCCAGAATGTTTTGTGCGACAATAATCACTCGTTTTTTAGACATTACCTTAGTCATGAATTCTCTTGAATACCGTCCTTAAACAGTTGTTGACATACTTAACATTAAGAAAACTGTTAGCCCTTAACTATTTTTGTTAACTAAATTAGTTGGGTCGACCAACATATTTAAGAAATACCTTATATGACAAATATCGAATTGTAAAGTATGATCTCGACCAAAAAAAAGGTATTAGGTGCATTTAAATTATTTAGTAGATATTTATCTACAATTATTGTCTGACGTATTGCGCCAAACAATACACAACAACTCTGTTCAATACGGATACTATTTCAAAGGTTCTTACTGATTTTTATTAAAATACTGATTACAATTACACTTTATTTAATAATGTTTCAATATTCGAATGAAACTGCAGCGCAATAAAATTCAAATTAATTAAACAACAATCTGATTTTCTTAATTCTTCTTATTGTACACATATTTTTTTTCATAATAGTACACATTGCAAAAAAGACCAATAACTTTATAAATTTTTGACATTCTGAAACTTATTGTGTCGAGAAAATATTTAATGTCAAAGAGTATGTATTTCTTAGATTAAACAATCTTTAGTACCTGCCCAATCGTGGACCCGTATTCCAGTACGGAATTCGCCCGACACAGCTGGACGACAAGAATGCATGAGAATAACAATAGTACAGTATAACAATCAACTCTCTATGAATATTAATGAAACAAACAAACAAGATACGCGAACGAAAAGAACATATTAAACTAAATGCTTGGGATATTTTGGAATAGATATAATTTTATTATATGACATTTTAAAGGAAAGAAACTATATGAAAAGCGATCTTTTTTTTTTAATTATGCTTAAAAAATACATTAAATTAATAAACAAAAACATTACCTACACTACCGTGTATTTGACACACACGCATATATACTCTTTTATTTATTGCGTATAGTCTGTGGTAAAATTGAGAATAGATTAAATATTGTTTGTCTTTATTAATATTTGTTTATAGTGTGGTCTTGACGAAATCTGTGATTATAGAAGTATAATAATCTTAGACAAGAGAATCATAAAAGTGTACAAACTTATAATTTCATTTAATTATAGTCGAATTTCGACTACCAGGGGAGCACAAGTTTAAGCAAATATACGACTATTCTCATTTGCTGACTGAAGTGTATCTGACACAATAACCTGACGCTTCGACCCTTGGTAGCTTATGTGATATTCTCGTGTCGTCTGCTCATCCGTTCGCATGAGTTTTGGAGAAACGTTAAGAGATAAAATTCTGTAACTATACTGAGACCTTACAACTCATGTCTCAAGGTAGGTGGCGGCGGTAGATATCTATGGGCTCCGGTAACAATTTAATATCAGATGGGCCATGAGTTCGTCCACCCATCTAAGCAATAAAAAATATCTACAGACATTTTCTCAATAAAGACGAGTAAAGTACACATTATGACTGCATTCATTTACAATTATAATATTGCAACAACTTACCGGCTTCCTTGGTTTCGGGCAGGACGAGCACGCTGTGAAACAAGTCGTTGTCGAAGTCGATGAGAGGTTCACTGTAACAAATATATTTACAAAATTCAATAAAACAAAAATTAATTACTGAACTTTTTTTATTGTTCTTTTATTTTTTGTCATTTAATTAATTATTAAAGTAATAATATTATTCATGTTAAGCGGTAGGCAGCGGCTTGGCTCTGCCCCTGGCATTGCTGAAATCCATGGGCGACAGTGACCACTCACCATCACGGTGGGCCTTATGCTCGTCGGCCTAAACGGCAATAAAAACAAAAAAAAATACACAGAAACGTATTTGACTTTATTTATTTATTTATTTAGTTGCACCAACGAAATGGTCATCAATACAAAACAATGACAAATTACAATAAGTACACGGCAGATATCCCCTTAATTATAAGTGCAATTGACAGCGCATTAACAACATCTTGAAATTAGAAAAGTTAAATTCAATGAGTAATTTTAAGAAATATGAAATCCAGAACAATATTTTGTCACATTTTTTAGCCAATTTGAATTCGTTTTTAATGTGATAGTAAATAATGAAAATAATTAACAATAATATGGTTTAAAAACTAGTAATTACGCTTTTCCTCTGGACTTCAGATATCTCCTGATTGCATTTGAACTATCACCCTGCCCCTCAAACCAAAAAACCACCATAATGTTTACAAAAACGATCCATACAGATATTAACTAGTTTTACAAAACTACTGTGTTATTAAAGTTACTTCTATATAAAAAAAGATGCGCGTGCAACTTGGTGCACGTGGAAGAAGTGAAACTTCTTTTGCGGTGAGTAATAATGCGGTGAGTAATAATGTGGTTTTCTTCATTTTTTATCCTTAAATCAAACTTCTCTTGTAATGGGGAATGCTGTGTATAAAAGAAAAGACTTAATAGTTCGCTTTGTCCTTTCCCTCTCTCCACGGTCGAGTGGTTCGCGAGACGCTCTATTTTCTCACTCTTGCTTTTCTTAAATTGTATCTTTTGTCTTTAGCCGTAACGAATCTGTCGCGATCTAAATTTTACTCTCAACGTGCCTAAAGAAGTTTCACTTTAAAAGTCATGATAAAATAACCGTTTAAATCAATTGTATGTATTGCAAGGTAAAGCTCGCTTTTTTTAGAGGCTATTTCAATTTTAACTTACCGTGTAGGTGAGCTTTCGAGGATCAACAGAAGATGTTGCTAACACTGACCCTAGCAAGAACAGTGCTTCGCAGAATCTACCATCGAATCGGAAACGCGACCCACTGAGAAGATCCGGCGAAAACCTCAGTGGGCTACAAAACCTAAATACTGACTTACCTGTCGTAGGCATAGTCGGTGTTTTCGGGGTGTGTGGGGCTGTCGTTGACCGGTCTAGGTTTTTTCTTGACGCTGGCGTTTTTATTCGGCGTATTTTTTAATAATCTGCAAATACGATACATTCATGGAACACAACTTTTTTTCAATGACCACACAAGGTAGTAAATGTTGGTAGCCGCGTAGTCGTCAAGGTTCTACCACAGCCATGGCCCTATGTAATGCCGAAGTCAACCACAGCGCTATCTAGCATGGTTGTTGCATTCAGGACTTTTTATTCCGCGTAAAATAAACTTGATAGGTATTTTGGTAAATTGCTGTTTCGTTTAGATAGATTAACATCGCACAGAATAAGATAATGACTTACTTGACACACAATGATATACTTAGACTTTAAGTATATAAAGAATTTTCGATAACTTCAAGAATTAACCAAAAATATATGCGTTCTAATGACAATTCTTTATTAATAAGCTATAATTATCTATGAATAGTAAATATTTTACGCACAGATCAAAGTCATCATAATTACATTATTACAGATATATAGAATAATTAGATTAATTATACAGATATATAGAAAATATTTTCACTATTTTTTTTATTATTTCGTAAGTAAGACATATATCAATTTTATTATGAACTTTTTATTTATACTATAATCCATTCCTTATAGATAAAAGAGCAAAGTGATTTCGAGATACCTTTTCAAAGGACTTCTGACGGTTTCCTCTTTGACTGATGCACTGTCAGAGGTTTCAGCCAGAGTCTCAGTAGCGATGGTGTCCTCGCCGCCCGGCACCCATTCCTGTTGACTCTCCGGTGATGGTTCCGAGATACTTGGTTTTGTTACTTGCTTCTCTTCTGTCACCGGAGGTGGCGACTCACTCTTCTGAAAGCATTTTATAATCCGTCTTTAAAATCCAATTGGAACATTCTAAAGAGGCCTTACGACATTGTAATTCATGTTCTATCTGATAAATAATTACTGTTATGCCGTTTTTTAAAAGTCCAGGTTATCAAAGCGGCTACATTTTGTGAAAAAAGGGATTTTCAAAAAGAAAGGTCTGTGCAATTAAAGGCGATTTTTGTAAAATGAACTTTTAAAAACTTGGGAGTGCAATATAGTTCAATTTTTAAGGTTAAGGTGTGCCTTGCCAAAAACGAAAATATTTTGGGCCGCATAGTCACTTCCGATGAAAAATGGATCCTGGTTCGGCACCAATGCAATGCCCCAAACGAAAACTTAGCCCTAAAAACTGAACTGTGAGGAACTTATCACAATGATGGAGAAACTCGCGAATTTTGGCCAGCTTTGGTTAATTACTTGTCCCCGCTCCGACACGACAACACTCGACCTCATACGGCACAACAACTAGGGTTATCTAAGAAGCATCAACAGACATACACTTTTTGCAAAATTTGAATAGTTTGTTAGCACTCGTAATCCGATTTTTCAAGGAAGGGATTAAAAATTATCAGTGGGCTGGCAGAGATGCATCTATACCATGTGTGCCCTTTTTGATTGATCGAAGTAAAATTTATTTATTAAAAAAACATATTTTAAGTTTCTGTATACTAAGTACGGTAATTTCGTAAGATTTCAAGATCTATTGTTATACATAATATACATAAAGAAATGTAAAAAATGACAGCCTATCTGTGCGAATACAACACAACATACAACTGATTCACTGGTGGTAGGACCTCTTGGGAGTCCACACGGGTAGGTACCACCACCCCGCCTATTTCCGCCGTGAAACAGTAATGCGTTTCGGTTCGCAGGGTGGGGTAGCCGTTGTAACTATACTGAGATCTTAGAACTTATATCTCGAGGTGGGTGGCGCATTTACGTTGTAGATGTCTATGGGCTCCAGTAGCCACTTAACACCAGGTGGGCTGTGAGCTCGTCCATCCATCTAAGCAATAAAAAAAAAACTGATTGTACAAAACTTATAGTTAACTGAAAATAAACAAATACTTGTTCAATAACTATATTAATAACCGTATTAATATGAATTCCACTGCATCTATCACGAACACAACATCAAGTAAATGTCATATCGATGATTATTTACAGAACACAAAATAAAAAAGAACACAACAAAAGAATAGAACGTGGACAAAATAAAAAAGGTTTTTCAAGAACAGGTTTTTCTCCTCAAAGAAATGCGACTTATATGTCAAGTGTTATATTCATGAGCGAGGATTCCATTATTTAAATGTTTTAATTAAACAAGAATATCGTGTATCTTTGAAGAGAGACACAAGGAGCCCTGATTCTTGTGAATCAACACTCACCTCCCGATAAGCCGTATCAGGCGATGATATACTGATAAAAAAGGAAAGGTTCCCGAGACCCAGAAAGGAATAATCTATCACCTCGATAACAGAAAATAATGTTCATATTTCTTGAACCACTAACATAATGTTAGGTTCTTTCCTTGTCGCCCTTTTTAATGTATTTGCTTTGGTTTCCGTCCAGTAACATTGCGATATCAACAAAATGAAAACGAAAAGAATGTTAAAATTGACTACGTTTAACGTTCAAAACCGTGTCTAGCGATAGCTATCAGAGAATAGAAGATATTTGCGAAAACCTGAATTGCGCTAACGACTTTTCAAAATAAGCTTGTATACGCTAGTTCAGAATAAGATTATGATATTACAACATACGACTGTCGATCTAAACCAGAGTTCCCCAAACTTTTTTGTGTCATAGACCCCTTGCCATGTTTTTCCGTTTTGGGTAGACCCCCTACTTACCTGATATTGATTTCCTGTAAATTTCTAACTGTAGTAAAGTTTAGTGTTAAAAACTTAAAGTAAAAACACATGTTAATTTATACATTTATTAATTGAATTTAAATTAAAACTACTCAAAATAAAATTTTGTATCTGCTAAATAAAATATACGTAACATAAAATAAACATAAAATAAACTATAAATAAAATAACATAAGCAATAAGTCAATATTTTTAGTGAGAAGGATGAACCTGATGCTTTAACAATAAATTATCAACATTTGGCGTCAATTTTGTAAGGGTTAATTTTAAATCTCCTCGGCTGATGTCTTGATATTATAAGATAGTATGATGTAAGTAAATAGGTACTATCAGTGTATGTGTTGAGATCCACTATCATGGACCCCCAAATTTTTTTTCGCTGGCGTAGACCCCTTGCAGATTGTCATAGACCCCTAGGGGTCGATATAGACCACTTTGGGAATCACTGATCTAAACGAAAAAAACAGGCGCACAGTGGAAATTTTTCATATACATATTATTATATACTTCATACGTAGAAACATAAGTGCCATCCATACCTTTGAAGTACAAAGAAGGACTTTTTTGGAAGAAAGGATTTCTGGTGGCCCGAAAGCCTTTTCAGTTTCACCACAGGTAGACGAGCACGGGTTCGGCCAAGAAGGGTGGGATTTGCTAAGAAGTCTTCGAAGGATCTAACAACTCAAGGACAGTTGCTTCCTGAATGAACCTACTACGGATTGGAATCTATACTATACTTGACTATACTATAACTATACTTGAGACCTTAGAACTTATATCTCAAGGTGGGTGGCGCATTTACGTCGTAGATATCTATAGGCTCCAGTAACCACTTAACACCAAGTGGGCTGTGAGCTCGTCCACCCAACTAAGCAAAAAATAAAATAAAAATCACGACCCGCTGAGAAGATCCGGCAAGAAACCCAGTGCGCTGATGTTAGGTTTCACGTCGAACAAGAGTTCTACGAGTACGGTTACCAGGGTCCCTGCATCTGCTCCTAGTATTAGACGACGAGTCGATATTTACTTTATAGCATAAGTTTAAATTCAAATTCAAATTTTACATCTAGTAAAAGCCATCTAATCGGTATCATGTTCCTGGGTAATTTTATCGGTATTCTAAAGAAACAGTAACTTAAAACATGGTTAGTCACTACACAACCACTCACCGCGCATAAATGATCCAAGACTAGGCTTTCCTATCCGACGAAGAATAAGCTCAAGGACGGATTGATCAAGTTTTTGTACCTCTAATCTTCAGTTTTATGACGCCCAATCAAGTGAATGATAATAGATTTACATGTAGGATTTGTAAGGTATCTGATGAGTATGCAAAAATATAAAACTTATAACAAATTATAATGCTAATAGTAAAAAATAATGACAGGCACAAAATGACTTTAAACTTGATGCCATTTTGTGCGTCTCAGCATTTTTTTTACTATTTATTCAACTTTTATTCAACGTTACAGTACCAAACTAATAAAAAAAATTAAAAATAAAAAGGTTATCGTCTCAATCATTCTTACACCACGCTCGAGGGAATCATGAGTAATTGTGACAGATTGACGCTCGTTGTTATTCGGAAATTCTCAAAATTGTTATCATTTCTCTCGTTTATATTACGTAGTTATTATGTTCAGAAAAATATAAACAATAGCTGTGCATGCCTCGAGTCTGCAACATCACAATTAGTACATAAAACACGCCACATATCACTATACCTATTTTGAGTTACCTTTTGGCGTTCTTTTAGTTTAACGTGCGGGCCACAATACTGTGATATCAGCACAACCAAACAACACACACACCGTTAAGGTTTTTAGACATTTAATTGGACACCATATTTAAATGTGCATTATTGAATTACATTGTACAAATCATTTTCTTCAAATCAGTTTCAATCATGTGAAACTTGATATTATAATAAAAATTGTAATAATTTATTTATTCAATTGCTAGTTTGCTAATGCAGAATATACGTCACTGCCACAGGTTATCTCAACTAAAAGCACAAAAACAATAAAACAAAAACATATAGCGATTTCGTGAATTCTGCACCAGTTTCCATATCAATGAAGATCATAACGAGTGACGTATGTCCTAATTAATTCGTTCGAAATCATTTAAATATGTGGATCTACATCAAGGATGTTTCATAAACTAACAATTACCAATCTGAAGTGTTTATTGAACTTGTAATTTCTGTAATTTTGTGAAATGATTTATGTAAATCCACAATATAAGCAATATGTATTATTATTTATATTATGTGTATTATTATACTATTTATATGATATATAATATATTATGTATTCAATAACTTTATACATTTCATTTAGGTATCAAATATAATGAATACAAATAAGAAAAGCTACAACACATTTATTTGCCAGCATATCAAACTATAAATAAAATTATTCTCTTCAAATATGGAAATTCTGTACTTAAATGCTTTATAGCTTGGCTTCATCAGTGTACGGATGCTATGAAGTCGTTCAATTCAATTTCTATTCTTTGCTTTTAATACTGTCTCAAAATGGTTATTAATTTAAGATTCCAATATATGATTATTTTGGTTAACAAACATCATTATAAGATCAAGCCAATTTTATACTTTTCTCAAAGTGATAAAGTGTACATGTTATATTAGTCACTTAGGTGGTGGTTCCAGTGTGGTAATTGAAAACAATTGTCCCAAGCAAAGAGCCTGTGGTGGGACACTGAAAGGGATGAATTTAATTCAGTTCAATTAACCCTATTGTGTGGGAGCAGATGTTGCCAGAACCCAGATATAGGATACCACATATACTGTAGCACACATTATTGCTTTGTTGTGCAAATATACTGGAAAATAGTACAAATCCACGAAGTCAGACAACTAAAACTCATTGGGCTCCACCACTTCGCCTGAACGAAAACTACGGTACCGCATCGGGCACGTCGAAAGTCCGCCTTCGCCGGTACCAGCGCCGGAATCTCGTCGCGGGCACGCTTCGAGCGCATGATAAGTATCGTTTGGTGGCAACCCGAATGTGGCTCTCTCCCGCTGACTCTCCACAGAATGATATTCTCGAAGAAGACCTGCATGAGGCGGAAGGAGAGCACGCCATGCCGCCTATCTTACCATTCCTCCAGCACGGACACCAGGGTTTCAAGCGTGCGCAGGCAGGCGGTCGAAGTTCAACTTTGCTGAAGGGGCAAAGCATATATTGTACCTACCTCTTACATCCTCAAAACTTATACATAAACCATATCTCTTTAACTAGGTTAAAAAAAATTTTGACACCAATTTTCTTACCTCCCTACCACCAGTTAAGCCTTTAACTTGAAGCAACTCTGCTGTGTGTAAGAACCCGGATAACTCTTGCTGACGTACATGCACCTCACCTCGGTACATGAACTGAAGGAGCTGACGTAGCTCTTGCAGCTCCACATCTTTGAGAATTACTATTGGATGCTCACATGGATTCATCTGTGTGACAAAAAAAAACTGAAATAGTGGCACCATTTCTTCATTGACTTGGGTTTGGGAAAAAAGGTTTAACTAGTGATAAACATTGGTGACATAAAAATAACTGTTACACTAACTGAGACGGTGGTGCAGTAGATAGCACCACTTAGTGTTGCACCGTGGGTTGTAACAACATTGGGTAAGCATTAGTGCTGAACAGCTCTATTTGCTCTTTGTCTGGGTGTGTATTATCTATACATTTATTGTCATATAAGTTATATAAATATAAGTCTCTAGTTCCCACAGTACAGGGAATCATAAATTGGGGCCAGATGACAGTGTGAGACTTGTCCCTGATTATTATAATTTTGATAATGGTGCACCAGAGCTTTAATTGTTTTTGATTAAATATCTTGAATGTAGCCAAATCACAGCAAAGCCAAATTACATGAATATTTGCTCATGGTAAGAATCAAACCCACAACCCTCCGACACAAAAGTTAAAGGTGTTACTACTGCACCACCAAATCAATCAAGTTGGATAACTATCTAGTTCCTTTATGACTGATGTAGGTAATAGAAATATATATTTGATCATTTGTTTTCACAACTTTTTTCACTGAAACAATCATTGAAGCTTTACAATTATAAGACAGTGTTAAATTAATGGTATAGGTATGTATATAATAGGCACCATAAGGAATAAAAATACAAATTAATCAAATAAACTATGAGTAAATTATATTATATTGGCGATAACTTTGACAAGTGTTTTCAAATGATTAATGATGAATTTAACAGTTCATGTAGATGTGTGACCCAGATTGGCAGTACTGACTATAATAACTAAATTTATTTATGATCAATATCTGCATGTATACAACAACAATATCAAGTAAATGGATGGAATTAAGTTGCTGCTCTATCTATTTACTGTGTAAAATTGTTACAGTGTTGTGAATCAGCTGACTAAAACTAAAGCTCTTATTGCATTTTGAAATTATATTTCACAACCTACAAATTCCATAGGTAGGGTTTATTGTTACTTTGCGTGGTAAGATTTCACTTTTTGAACTATATAACAAAATAAATGCTATATTTTTTCATTATAGATAGCAAATAATTTATGAAATATATGCAAAGTAATCTTTTTTATCTTGTTTAAAAGTTATAAACTATGTTTTTTTAACCACTAATGTATTAATAGTATTTTTCTCCAATTTAAAAAATTATTATAGATTGACATCATCACTGCTTGGATAGTTTAAAAATTATAATATTAGATACTCTACTTACAGATCCAATTTATCAAAATAAATGAAAGTTCTACTAACTACCCTTTTTTCACTCTTAGTTATGATTACAATTTTAATAGTAATTTTCTTGAAATGCTATTAATGTGCATAACAAAACATAGGTAAAAAGTTTTAAAATACTTTAAGATTGCGTAAATTTTATCATTGAATGTTTTGCAATTTTTTTATGAAAATGACAACATACTTAATGTATGTAGCTATTTAGTAAGACGAATTTGAGGTAATGTATTAAAAGATGAGGGTTCATTATAAAAGTCAACATAGAAAACAACATCTCTACAGGACACTTTAAAATCCAACATGTATCCTAATACTTTTGAATAGCTAGTCAATATTCTATATTATGGTCCGTTATGGTTTTTGTTCAGAATACTAATGTTGTTATGCATACGGTATACATATATATACCTAGCATATACTTGTGAACAATTTAAAAACAATGGCATCTATGACTAATTCACTGACTATAGAAATAATAGACAAAAACCAAAATAAGAAGCAAAATGATGTACTACTGCAAGCAAATATTTTCACATAAATGCCATAAATGGGCGTCACATACATTGATCTTGATTGATATTGATCTGTTTCAGAGTTGCAATTTTACTCATAAACTGAATTACAAAATAAAAAGTATGAGTCATACCTTGAATAGTTCCTTAAAATAAGGGCTGCAGACCGAGAGGATAAGCTTGTGTGCATGGACATACTGGCCACCCGCCGCAAGCGTCACGTCCACCAGGTCCTCGCCTTCCAGCAAAGCGTGAAAAGACTGAGACAAGTTCGAATGGAAGTCGTTCCACCGCAACGAGAACTGTTCTGCCATCGCCATCCTAAACGTAGACGCGCCAAATCTCCTCCGAAAATACACCTCCGCCCTACTATCCGCTACCCGTAACACTTTCAGTACTTACTACGCGTCCCTACAGTGATACATCACTGAAAACGCAAACAAGCTAACTGCCCACGTATACTTATTCCAAATCTCGTTTTTATAATTTCATCGTGCAAAAATACGCATCACGTATACGCCACAAGCGCTTCGATTCGATTCACGCGTATTATACAATGTAGAATTGCAACAATGAAAAAAAAAACAACAAAATGTCGCACGGTTTGCGTTTGCTTCACAAAATTCACAATGCACCGTTCATTGTTCGACAAACATTAACAACGTTATGTCAAGTCTAGAAGAAAAAAAAATGCGCAAAAACAACATTGTTTTTTATTTTTAGAACATTATCTTGATACAATATAAAATTTCTACGCTAAAAATAATGCATCAAATTCAGTTTAATACAAAACAGCTAGGTATCTAAAATCTATTATTAATTGTTTTACCAAATATTTAGAATTAAATTTTTAAAGTTTTAACAGAGCTTGAAACCATAGACTGAAAACTGAAAGAAAAAATTTCAACATTTTTCTCTCTCTGTCTTTACTTGGGCTTTTTCCAAAGAAAATAGTACCCGATTAGTAAAAATAATTTTATGATACTATGATGAAAATAAACACCACTCAAAGTAACTGCTATTATTCAATTGTCAGATCATTACAAAAACACGTTTACAATAAAATGGGCCATATTTAAGCTTCATTTTAATTACATTCAAAATTAAAGAAGTCAGCATTGGAAAGTTATTTTTAATAAAATAAAAAGTAAAAGTCCGTATATATTAAAACTAAAGCCGTTCTATTTATTTCATAGATTGATAATCAAAATGCGTAATAAAATACATGCAAACTATGTAATTAAGTAGGTATTCAGTACAGCCACTTTAAATTTTCCAATCAGCTTATGATCAAGCTATTATTTGTTTCTTGGTCCTTTCTAGTTTCATTTGTTTTTAACTATTGGTAACTGGACTTTTTAGGACATCTTCACTAGAACATCGGGCTAAGACATTTCAGCAGGAAGTGAAGTTGTTGTTATTTGTTTTTCTTTATTAATCTAGTGTATCAATCTTCAGGTTTTAGCGTTATTACTATAAGTTCAAGTACGGATTTATTAACCGTTAATCTACTCTGAAAGTACATTGTGTAGTTTCTTGGGTCCATTGAAAACAGTAATTAGGCTCTTAGTAAATATTCACTATTTTACTGAAAGATTATTTTATTTCATCTTAAACAAGATCTACTTGGTGTGCTGTCAATATCTCATTTAATTACAATTTGTGACATGGCTTCATCCTTTATTATGAAAAGATTTTGGCTATGTGGCCTTTATCTTGTCATTGGACTAATCAATCCTTCCAATGTTTCACTGTCAGGCGTCAATCTTGAAAATTTCCATCATGCATTAATGTCATTAATGTCATTGGTCAAATATTGTCATCCACTGATGATATGCACGGTAGGGAATGCAGAGTAAGCATTGTTTTTTTTTAATTTATTTGGTTTTAAATGAAATCAATAATAAATATTTTAAAAGTGTATATTATTATTTTTAAATTAGTGTGTGATAAAAATGTTAACAGTTGTGCCGATCAGCAAGACTTTATGATGTTTGCGTGCCAGTGATATTAAATTAGTTCATCAGTTAATTACGTGGTTATCATGTCGGGAAATAGCACACAGGAAGAGGCAGAAGCAGCGGACCGGGCCCAAATGGTCAAAAAAATCCTTAGCGCATTATTTTACGCAATAGCTTCATTCATGATCACGGTTGTCAACAAAACTGTGCTGACTACTTATGCATTCCCTTCATATCAAGTATTAGGCCTGGGACAGATGGTCGCCACCATCATGGTGCTGTGGTTTGGTCGATCAGCCAAACTAGTCCAGTACCCGCCTTTGGATTCAGGCATAGCGCGACGAATATGGCCTCTACCACTGATCTACCTAGGAAACATGGCAACTGGCCTTGGAGGCACCAAAGAATTGAGTTTACCAATGTTCACGGCTCTTCGACGCTTCAGTATTTTGATGACTATGATTTTAGAGCGTATGGTACTTGGTGTAAGAGCATCTTGGCCTGTACAAGCAAGTGTTCTTGCCATGGTAGGAGGTGCTCTGCTTGCTGCTGCTGATGATGTCACCTTCTCTGTTACTGGTTACACCCTTGTACTGCTGAATGATGCATTTACTGCTGCAAATGGTGTATATATGAAGAAAAAGCTCGATGCTAAAGATCTTGGTAAATATGGATTAATGTACTATAATGCACTATTCATGTTTGTCCCAGCAGCATTGGTGGCGTGGAGAACTGGTGACCTTGACCGATCTGCTGAATATCCTCACTGGAATGATCCATTATTTTTATCACAGTTCTTAATGTCATGCATTATGGGATTTGTTTTGTCTTATAGTGTTATGTTATGTACACAATACAACAGTGCTCTAACCACAACCATAATAGGCTGCTTGAAGAATATCTTGGTCACTTATCTTGGCATGGTAATAGGTGGTGACTATGTTTTCTCCTGGTTGAATTTTGTTGGTTTAAATATCAGCGTATTTGCAAGTCTGTTGTATACTTATGTGACATTCAAGAGAAAACCATCCCCTGCCTATGTGCTTGTGAACAATGGTAAGGTTGATACAGTATAGTGATTGCTAAAAAGGAAGCCGGCTCATAGTTATACTTACAGAGTGTAACATAATGGCTTCCTACCAAAGAAATGCTTGTGATAAAAGCATATGAACTGTATGACGTAATGACATAATATAACAAATATATGACTGCTATAAACAAATGCATAGTTTTCACTTGTTGAACATCAGAATATAGATTAACTTTTTAAAGCAATTTCACAAAAGAGTGCCTATTGACATTGTATTGTTGTTGATTATCATATTTTAAGATACATTGTTAAATAATGTGAATTATTTTAATTATTTTAATTTTGGATAGTGGCTTCATTTATGTTCAAGTGCTCTATAGTTTTTTACAAATGTGCGATTTTATAGGACATTCTTTGAGATTGGGGTACTCTATATAACTAAATTTCTTACACTATAAATGCACTGTTATATAAAATGAAGGAGACACATGAAACATTTATGATGTCACTTGACTAATATTTTAATTTTTTTTAAATGTTTTGATGGTAATTATTAGAAATTGAATATATTTTTAAAGTTATACACCTTTTTAATGATAAAAATAAGAATAAAGAAAAGATATCTAGTTTATATGCATAAAAATATTTATACCATATGTGTAAACATGAAATTATAATTTTAATTCAAACGACTATAGCTTTTTAGTAAAAATAATTGTTAACACATGTTGAATATTAAATATTTTTGTATTTTATAGCTATTTTTGTGAGCATTTTTCTAGCTGAATTTGTTAGCTATTTGCAAACACTATGTGGATGTTAACTGAAATAACTTTTACACTTGACAGAATCACTGTTAGAAATTGAATTTACTAGCTTTCAAAATAGAAGTGTCAAAAAAACAATGACCTTTTTAAAATATATAATTTTAATTTTTAAATTAATATTTAGTTCTGCAATATTTAATTTAAATTTATTTATAATTTTAATTCATTTAATCTATTTTATTTTTAATGATAACTTCAACGGGAGGACTAAAGCTGTTTGTTAGTTTTAAAATGGGAGTTAATTGCTGGCCATGTGTTTTTCTTTTTTACAACTCCGGCACATTACGGCCCATGTGCCATCGACATTCATCACGACATCTATATCGGAGACATTTAAAAAAATAGCCTCCTGTCACAACATAAGTGTAGTACAAAATGTCGATTTATCTTCAAAACGCAATCTATTAGATTATGTATACTGAAAAGCTAACTTCAAAAATAATTCAAATTATGCAGCCGTCATTAATATTGTATCAGGTAATATTGTAACATTGTATCGCATTGACATATTCAAAGCATATCGACAGTACGATCATTGATGACGAGTTGTCTACTAGAACTGCGTATCCTATCATGATTTAAACGGTGGTGGCTTCTGTAGACCCCAAAAATTTCAGAACCTACGGAAAGATATGCGAACTTGAAATACCCTCTTAAATGTGTTGTCGAGCACAATTATCAACTTTTATTTCGTTACTTTTATTGCCAAGCAACACAAGTCTCTTAAAAGCAACACAAGTCTCTTAAATTCAACTGCCACCCATGCCATTAGCAATATTAAACGTAAAGTAAATATGTTTTAAACACAGCTAAACAATTACAAATATGCAAAGTGCAAATCGCTATTCATCATGTGAAGATGTCACTCATACGAGGCCGCTGAGTCCGATTATGCCCTCTTCGTGTTAATACAGCCTCGGGAAAGGGTACCGTTCGTAAGACAACAAATTATTAAAATAAATCTATGAACAAAAACTAAGTAAGCGTTTTGCTGTTTTAAATGCTAAAAACTACATACTAAAAAATCTGAAAAATGTCCACCTTAATAAAAACTTACTTTTCAACGCATAAGGTTAAGTCGCATTAGTGGAGTTGCGAAAAAACCAAATCCGACTTTTAAGACGATTGTTAAGCTTTATTTTATGTATTTCGGAGTAAATCGCTTACTTCCAATAGTTTAAAAGTTATTTCACGTACACGTACTTCGTTCTAAAGTAAGAATATAAATCAAACGCAATATTGTATTAGACTTTAAGCATCAGTAGACTAATATTAGTTAAATTAAGTAATTTCGCACATTGACGCACGTTCATGATAATTTCTAATATTACGTATGTTGTACTCGTAGTTGTATTGACAAGTTTGTTATTTGTCTCTTTAACTGCCGTAATTTTAAAAACGATGACAATTGAATTTGTTCATATTTTTAAAGAAAACAATGTTCAAGCTGAACTATTCCTACTATTCCCGGCGTATTGTTTTCAAGTCGTCACTTTGTTATTTCAAAAATAGTTTGTGTTATGAAATTCTTCATGTGCGTTGCCTAAATTGAAGGCTCTGATAAATGAAGGTATTGTACAATACAATTCTATCGTTCATTAGTAATTTGATTGAGATGGCTTCAAGATTTTATTGGTTACCCTTACGAGACACTAGGCTTTGAATAATTGGCACGAGTGCGCACTTTATGTCTATCGCAATGTTTTCCGAACGATTTTCTTACAACCACTATAATTAGCAAGCTAAGGAGTCTTAACAACTGAACAACTTAACTAATTAACTGCGTTTCTACAAACTTGAAATAGATTTTGTGGCTTCGCGGGCTTACTGTAGGCCCCTATTGCCTTTCTTATTGGTGAGTGAGCTCAAAAGCTCAAACATGAAGATTTGGAAGGAAAAATAATATAAATGTAGTTGGTAGCGAGCGCTGAACGTATGTAGTTTTCATTTGGATGTGAAAAAAGGCTTATTAACTGTAAGATCTCATTTCCTGTTTCAAATTTAAATCAGCCTAATGGGTTTTGCATAAAGTTCAAATCTATTCTCTAGAGTTCTGTAAACTTGAAAATGCGGGCGCATTAAATATCAAATGACTAAAAAAACTGTTTTGGTAATGTTAAATTAATAGCATTCTGAGAAATGTGAATTGTTAAGCAGAGAACAGTCAGGGCCACTAACTAAAACATTCCTTTCGTTCATAAACTTCTGTTAAACCACAAAGAGCTTTCAATTAAATTCTAACTTAGTTTGGGATTGTGATTTCGCTGAAAACGCACGTGGAGACAAGTTTGTACTGTTCCAAGGCTAGACCTGGATATCTCAAAGAAAGGGTCTCAACTGCAGATTGAGAATTCAATTCCTGCTTAGTGCTAATTCAGTTGCGAGAGTCAGTGTCAGTCGTACAAGCTTGTTAATTAAGGGTGATTCGAATCCTTCTGCATTGTTCTCGACCGCAGACTCGATGAAGTTTTACAAGTTGGGAAATCTCTTCCCAGCTGCACACGCGTTGTGGTGTAAAGTGATTTAGTTTAAGTTGGATCACGGCAGTGGATTTGTGATTTCGATTGGCTCCTGTAACCATTTAATAACAGAACCTGAGCTCTTCCACAGCACAAAACTAAATCATTAATATCACTTAACCACAAAAGTTTTAAAGAATTGTTTTCGATAATAATTTGTTTAATGTACGAACATAATTACATTGTGAAGTATACATTTAGCTTCATAGATAAGATAATACTGAGAGAGTGAGCCGTTTTATCAATGTGTTTTCAAATTGATCATAATTGTATTTCAAAGTTAATACCGCCATTTGAGAGATAATTTCTTTTTGATCTTATCAGGAACGTTCCATCATAAAACTATTTACGGCATCAAAGGAACAATAATGTAAACTTCGGTTTTCCCGAAGTCCATCCCATTCATTAATTTTACAGTATTTAAATTACATGTGCCTAATTTTATTATAAATTCCAGTCTGTTTCCCAACAAGGTTTAGGATTAACGGTCTTATTCATAATTAGTTATGGGAGCCTAAAAAAATCACCTCTTTTTCTTATAGCGGGCTAGTAGAGTTTCGAAAACTCGTCATGGAAAAGATTGAAGGAATTGAATCTATTATTTATGCGATGCTAAAATTTAAATTTAATAAATCTGAGAAATACATAACATGCTATTGATAATTTAATAAATAAAATTATAGTAAAAAAAAAGTAATACATATTAAAGAAAAAGTCATTAATAAGCTTCATTATAGTTATTAAAGAACCAGCAAACTATGTAGGTATCGATATGTTTATTAGTACGACGGGTATTGGTTCGTGTGCTTTTATCGTACATTATAAAAATCATTTGAGCGATTATTCAAAACTCCATAAATCTCAATCTACGGTATATTTCGGCCGGCAAACGTCGACAGACCCGGGAGAAACTAACCGTTTAGTTTGTAAGTAGAGAAAATGTCCGACAATTGCACACTGATCAAAACTGGTCTCTGTTTTTCGGTACAAACTTATCTTTTATTTTGACTGACTCAGTGGTACAGTAACAGTTAACGGGCCTGGCTGTTGCGCCGAGGGGTCGTGAGTTCGATTCCCACATCGGGCAAACATTGTGTGATGAATGAAATAATTTGTTTGCTCTTTGTCTTGGTGTTTATTATATGTACATATTTAAATATGTATATGTATGTTTGTCAATCTCTGATAACACAGGGAATCCTAAATTGGAGCCAGATGACCTTGCGTGATTTGTTCCTAACTAAAAAAAATTTAAAGTTATAAAAATTACATATTTTTTATGATCTTATCACCTGTATGTGCTGAATGTATCGAAACTTTTCATGTATGATCAACATCATTGGCTGCTTCATTTTGCCATACTACATTATTTTGCTTCATCGAAAATAGAATCTGGGAATGTTCTAACATTTCGTGCAAATGAATGCAGTCGAGCTTAGTCCCGAACACGTCTTGAATATAAACTAGTTACAGTTCGATAAACTACACAACAAGTGCTGGATTTAATTAATTCTCCATTAACTGGAGAGAGCTTTGTGACCTGCGTCCCGCCATCGGCGAATTCGTTCATCTTTTATATTAATAGTCTGTTCATTCCAATTTCGTAATTTATTTCATTACTTACGTTTCCCACCCAGACCTAGCTCGACGAAATCTAATTAGTTAGGTCCTAGAGAAAATACAGTACGAACAACAGCGTCAGTTTCTTCGTGAACAACGTAATGAAATTTGGTCGTGTTCCTGGATCCCGTTAGTTGAAGCGAAGGTGCACTCTAAATTCAAATTACCTTAGTTACCTTCTGAAATTAATAAAATTACTTTCAAGGCAAGTGAGTATTGCATTTCGACGAAATTAGTTGCCTGGGACGTGAAAAATCTCATCTTAAATAAGCTTAAAATTTTACCGCTCATCTCTTTAGTGCGCCCGCATTAATTTATATATTTATAACAGTTTTTGTCCTTGATTAAATTAGCAATTCCAATATCGTTTTTACATCGGCCCGTAAGCACTTGGGAGTGACAAAAACGCCGCCAATTGATCGCTAAGGTCATTGCACGTACATATGTTTCGTAACACAAGGTTTGTAAACTGCGTGCGCGATCATCGGTCCGAGTAAAAGTTTAGTATTTCTGTACGAAAATATCTGCTTTATCGTGGCCCAATGTCCTTGAAGTAGAGAATACACAAAATAAACGGACTTAGTACGTGCCGATTCGCGCTTAGATCGCCGTTAA